AAGGGGGCACGTGAGTGTGTTGGGACATGTGACAAAAGCGAAGCTACATGGGCTACATGCATTCGGCACTGTTAAAGAACTACAAGCATACTGCATACGGCTTCATTGGACACTTTGAAGATTGCTTTGGCTGCCAGGTGTCAAATGTGAGGCATAGCGATCCGACGAAGACGGACGAAAAGGTGAAGAGGAAGAGAGCTGGTAAGTCTGCTACTAGGAACAAGTGCATCGCTTCTAGTAACAAGTGCCTTACTAGTAGTATATAACAAGAAGCTAGTAGAAACAAGACTTAGTAATTAGAATTAAGTCAAATTAGAATATACACTATATATCCATTGCTACTAGGTTGGAGGCGCTATTAGGTTGGAGGCATTGCTAGTAGTAGGTTGGAGGAGTCTTTTTTTGTTTGCATAGCTTTTAATAGCTTTGCACTGTCACATCTTGGCCCAGTTTCAGACAGACAGGGAGCAGACGTGCTAAATAAGTCACGTTGTCATCTTGCATATTACACATATATATATATACACACATAGAATGTAGTTATATATGCTTATATATGCATATACACAGGACTCATGCACATCACACCCGCGTACCAAAAAAGACCTGTTTGGTAAGGTTTTTGTACCTTCATTGTTCACATTCAATTTCCTCCGGCAGAGCATGAAGCGTGGGGCAAAAACACATCTCACGCTGGTCCTGCTGGTGGTAGCAAATGCATTCCTACTGAAGTCAATAGTGCCAAGCCCTGCATGGGTTAGTCTTTGTGGTGCGAAGGGCCTTGGGCCCCCGCGTTGGAAATCAGTGAGATATGACTCAAGGCGGTCCGACGCAGAGTTGTGGCCAGAGATGTTTGATTGGGTGAAAAGTACTGGCATGGATACCTCAGATATTCAGGTCAAAGTTGCCGCAACTGAGGATCTTGCCAAAGGGGAGCTTGGATTGATTACGACAGCACCATTGGTAGCAGGTGACATCCTTGCCTGGGCACCAACATCGCTCCTTTTGAGCAAGGGCAAGGCGGTTGATCTCTGGGGCTCGCTGGTGGAGGACTTGTCAGATCGACTGGCACTCATACTGTTGTTGATTCAAGAACGTTTTGTACACGGCTCTGCCTCCAAGTGGCAAGTCTACATGCAAACTCTGCCTAGGTTTGATGGTGATGTCTCAGGTCCCAGTTTTCTGTGGGCAGAAGAAGAGCTGGAATGCTTGCAAGGGAGCGACGCTTATCATGCAGCTTTTCAAATGTACAACACAATCATAGACGAGTATGAATCGTTGAATCGCACCCTTTTCAGCAAGAACCCTGACACCTTTCCCCCGACTACCTTCACGTTTGAGAACTATTTATGGGGAGCAGCCAATGTTGCGTCCAGAGCATACGGTGATGATGCTGATGGAACTCATCTTTGTATAGCTCCGCTTGTGGATTTCTTGAACCACAAAGCCGGGGCTTTACAGCTCACTCGCTTTGGCAACGGCATTGTGGCATATGCACACAAGCATTATGAAGCGGGTGAGCAAGTGTGGGTTAGTTATGGCGGCAAGAGCAACGCACAACTTTTGTCCCAGTATGGATTTGTGGATCCTGACAACGGCCAAGAGGCAGTTTACATTAGAATATCCGATCACTTGCCTGCAAGCACTTCACAGCTTCAGCTCATAGGGCAACTTCTGAATGATGAGCCCCAAATTGCAATCTTCCGTCTTTCACGGAGACCACGCGAATGGGAGCCAACACTGATGCCTGTCCTAAGAATTCTTGCCTTGGACGATCAAGATTTGCCCAAGAATGCTGAGGACATGATTCAGCGGCAGCAACCCGAGCTTGAAGCATCAGCTTACAAAGTACTGCAGCAAGCCATCACACGGCGCAAAAGTGAATTTCCTGCATCCCTTGAGGAGGACAAGAGGACTTTAGAGGGACTAAGCAAAGAGGCTTTCTCACAGAAAATTGAGAGAGAGTCTTTGGCTTTACGCTTGCGGATCTCAGAGATCGAGCTGCTGGAACTTGTTGAGGCATATGCTATGGACCAAGAGCTACGGGAAGCCCAACCATGAAAGCGTCAGTTGCAATGCATTCCCGCTGATACTCCCTACCATTGCAGCGGACTACCCATTATTATGCTTCCAGCCTGAACTTGGAGTCGGCATACGATTTTCGAATATTGTTGATTTGTTGTGTTTGATCTCATTGCTGACACTGCCTTGGCTCCTAGTGTACTTTCGTTTCACAACTTCAGTGAATGATGAAAACCAGTCGCACGGGCCCCACATCTAAAAGGTTCTGAAGAGGCGCAGTCACTAGTCCCAGCCAGCCTTTTGATTCTATAATCATTTTACTCCCAGTGATTCTAAGATTCTCTAACGAGTTTTGTTAGCTTGAAACGCTACTCAATACCAAGCATTCCACCAGCTGCACATATTACTGTAGACTGTACAGCTACTTACTGTACATAGATCGGTCCTGCCACGTTGGCACGTGGGTTTAGCAGCGAGCTTAGCAATGTTGCCTCATTGACACTGCCCTCAGATGGAACTGTGCGACTGGAAATTTACGCCAAGGAAATCGGCCAAGATGAGCCTGAAACTTGATGTGCATGTAACATAAAAGCATCATAAATCAGCACTTGTGCGAGAAGCACACAGGAACTTTCTTTTTCCCGAATGCGTAGCGAAGGGTTCTCGTTTAACTCTGGGGGTCTGGGGGTAGAGCCTTGTTCGCGACCCGTTGTTTCTATGTTCGCAACCGTTCGGGGGAAGCTTTTGGAGAGGGTTTCGGATGAAAACGTGACGTGTCAGATTCCTGTGAAATAGCGAGGAATCGTGTGGAAATGTAAGATGTTGAAGTGTGGAGGATGATTTCACTGCGCAGGCGCAGCGTTTTGTGAGATCCGCAGTTTGCTGCGCAGTTCCATTGGGATTAGCGTGTGGAGAGTGGTGTTTTTGGGGTGTTGGATGTGGCCGTGCCATTGGGATTTGCGTTTCAGGGTGTGGCATCGAAGCTCTGCTTTCGTGACAAGTCTCAGCTGAAATGGCGATTTTGGTGGATGGGAGTGTGCTCAGAACGGGTCGAAGTCATTCCAAACGTGTGGTGTGGTGCAAATTTTGTGGAAGCTCACATGAGATGGTAGGGTCACTTTTCGTGGCAGGCGCAGTACTTTGTGCGGGTTTCGAGGTGTGGAAGTGCGGTTTTCGTAGCAGGGGCAGGAAATCGTGAGGTTGCGAGGTGTGACGGAGGTCACATTTCGTAGACGTGTGGACGCGGAAAGATTCGTGGCAGGCGCAGGGAATCGTGAGGTTGTGAGCTGTAGAGGTGAATGTCGCTGTCACATTGGGATTGGCGTGTGAGCGGGTGTTGTTTGGAGGGGCTGGAATCGCGAAACTGCTTGGCAGGACTGCGTGATGTGTGTGCTCCGATGGGTGTTTCCGCTTGACTTTTGGAGGAAGTCTCGTACGAAACGCTCGTTTTGCAGACTTTGACGTGTGAGTTTTTGAGGAAGTCTCGTACGAAACGCTCGTTTTGGAGACTTGACGTGTGACTTTTTGAGGAAGTCTCGTACGAAATGCTCGTTTTGGAGACTTGATGTGTGACTTTTCGAGGAAGTCTCGTACGAAGCGCTCGTTTGGGAGACTTGACGCGTGACTTTTGGAGGAAGTCTCGTACGAAACGCTCGTCTTGCAGCCTCGAAGCGTGACTTTTGGAGGAAGTCTCGTACGAAACGCTCGCGTGACTGCTTCTATAGTTTGTGGGCAGACCGTGTGGCGACACGACGTTCGTGATGTCGCAGGGGGTGGAAAGTGCGTTTGCGTGGCGCCGTGCCACTGGAGAGCGTGAAACAGGCTGGCGTAAACGCGGCGTGTCGCTGGTGAGCGGGGTGATATGTGGTATACCATGTGATATATTTGCTTCAAGTGTGTGGGCAGACCGTGTGGCGACGCGGCGTTCGTGATGTTGCAGTGCCATTGGGATTTGCGCGGCCTTGGTGGAGAGTGCATTTGCGTGGCGCCGTGCCACTGGGGAGCGCGAAACACGCTGGCGTAAACGCGGCGTGTCGCTGGTGAGGGGGATGATTTGTGGTATCATGTGACATGTTTGCTTGAAGTGTGTGGGCAGACCGTGTGGCGACGCGACGTTCGTGATGTCGCAGTGCCATTGGGATTTGCGCGGCCTTGGTGGAAAGTGCGTTTGCGTGGCGCCGTGCCACTGGGGAGCGCGAAACATGCTGGCATAAACGCGGCGTGTCGCTGGTGAGCGGGATGATTTGTGGTATCAAGAGTGTCCTACAAGAGTGTCCTACAAGAGTGTCCCACAAGAGTGTCCCACAAGAGTGTCCTATAAGAGTGTCCCACAAGAGTGTCCTACAAGAATGACCCATCAGAGTGTCCTACAAGAGTGTCCTACAAGAGTGTCCCACAAGAGTGTCCCACAAGAGTGTCCCACAAGAGTGTCCTGTCAGAGTGATCCACAAGAGTGTCCTACAAGAGTGTCTCACAAGAGTGTCCCACAAGAATGTCCGACAAGAGTGTCCCATAAGAGTGACCCACAAGAGTGTCCTATGAGAGTGTCCCACAAGGAGTGTCTACAAGAGTGTCGTGTAATAGTGACCCACAAGAGTGTCCTACAAGAGTGCCCCATAAGAGTGTCCTACAAGAGTGTCCCAAAACAGTGCCCTGCAAGAGCTTCCTACAAGAGTGACCCACAAGGGTGCCCTACAAGAGTGTCCCACAAGAGTGGCCTGTAAGAGTGTTCCACAAGAGTGTCCTACAAGAGTGACCCACAAGAGTTTCCTACAAGAGTGTCCCACAAGAGTGTCCCACAAGAGTGTCCCAGAAGAGAGTCCCACAAGAGTGTCCTACAAGAGTGTCATTTGGACATATGCATGTAGCTTTTCGAACGTGTTTGCATTCGGGTTCGTTTTTTTTTCGACTCTCGAGAAAGAACGCTTGCTGAAGGCGGTCATCATACGCTTCCAAGTACCAAGCAGCTTACCACCCGCATGGCCTCCAGCGGCCGCAATATCCCTGCGAAGGCAGAGCAGCATAAGAACGAGGTGGTGTCAGGATGCAAGTGTGCATTCTGGATAACAGCTTTATCTGCATGCTCAAACTTTTGGAGGCGCAGACCATGCAGAATTTGCAGCTTCTGTTGGCCGCCGCCAAAAAGAACAAACCGGTGACACGGGCGGGTGACTAAGACCGCCGTCTGAGTGTGTTTGGAAGCCCACCTTGTTGCAATCCTATTATACTATATCAGAATCATAGTAGTAAGGACGCTACTAGGGGCTCCTGGCCTTACTACTATATAGTAACAAGGAGCTACTCGGGGCTCCTGGCATCGCTACTAGGAGCAAGGACGCTACTAGGGGATATCCTAGTGAACTTTTTCTGAGGTCGAGAATGCTCGCATGTTGAGAGCGAAGTTCACGGAGCTGCAGGCGAAGTCAGGTTTGACCATCAACAAACATGTTTCCGCTTACAGATATATATATATATATATCATATCCTTTATTCCTTCATTTTCAATGAAGCTAAAACATGACCTGCATGGACAACAAGAAGAGCAACCCATTTGAGCAAAGCCGTAGCCTTTCCAGGATTCTCCTGATGGAGCGGATTTAGATCCTCTGACAGTTCCAAAATGTGTAGAGTCCCCCGGCTGCAACAGAAGATGTCAGCATCTTTGGCTTGGCTCGTGGCGATTTACAGGGAGAACCACAGAGATCGTCAGATGAAATCGGTGTGCCAGGTGCAACCACTGCGGTTGGCCAGTGTATCCTCGAGAGTCCAAGGCCCACGGTCAATTACTTTCTACACCAGATGGTAACCAGGTAGAAACTGTATGAACTTGTTGATACATAAGCAAGTTTATATGAATATTGAAGATCTAACATATCATATACTGCTTAGCTATATATATATAAATACACGTCATGTAGCAATAAGTTAGCAGGCAGAATGACAGGATGTGACATACATGTTTGCAACAATGCCACTCTGCTAGGTGGCTACGAAGAAGACTTTTGCAAGAGCCACACGCACAAATTTATGTGTTTCACGCCGTCGAAATTGTCGCCACTAGTAACAAGAAGCTACTAGGAACAAAGGGCATCGCTACTAGGAACAAGGGCATTACTACTAGGAGCAAGGACGCTACTATAAACTCTCTCTTTCATAATTTCTATATTGGGTTCTTCTTTGAATCACAGGGCATATTTGCGATTCAAGCTGAGGCTGGGATAGACAGAGGGTCCAAGAAAGAGGAAGAGGCGGGCATTGAACTTGCTAAACTCGAAAAGGAAACAGCTACTTTCAGCTTTGGACACAGCTCATGCTGCTCATGCCATATGCAGCCTTATACCTCTCTTGACGTTTAAGCATATTGATACTTGATATCTCCTTTTTCATGGGCGTGCGTGTGCTAGATTCAAGATGGTGCCCTATTATCTATTCCATGAAAAGACTGTCTGGTTGTGCAGTGACTTGACTTACCTTGATAGCTCTCTTAAGAAAGAACCGCAGTAGAAGCCAACCTACATAGAAGACCTGTACTCGACTGTGCTGCCCCCTGGACTACATTGCTCGACACAGTTGGCACGCTTTGGCACCAGAGAAACTAAATAGCAGTTTGATCAAGATTTATGAGGAAAAACAAATATCTATATATGATATATATATATATATTGTGTATATTATATATATATATTGTATATATATATATTATATTATATTATATATATTATAAATTATATATATTATATACACATACTAAATTCAACTCATGTGGCAGGCGAAGCGGCGAGCAGCCATCCAGGCGGCGTTGGACGCTGGAGAGGCTGGATCTTTCACTGCAAACATCCATTGGCAGCACACTCCCTGGAATAATCATAGTGTCGTAGAAGTGGAAAACCACCTGTTGTTGAGGAAATGGTAATCCAAGGGCAAATTTTACACTTCCATGATTTTTCTAGGGAGTGTTTGTTTGCCCTTTTGTGCAAGACAGAGCAGATGGTTGTTGTATGATGAAGATTTACGAAGTGATTCTTAGAACGTCTAAGATCAGCTGATTGGTTTCGAGTGTGTTCCGCTTCTTGGTGTGTGTGTTTTTTTGTTGACCAGGAGATTCCTGAAGATCTTCTGAAAGGAGAAACTCAAGGGCCGACCGACTAAGATCACACTTGCTTTCTTCCCCAAACATCTAGGAACCACATCATTAGTGCGAGCGCTTCTTCAAGGGAGCTCCCTGGAGCTTCTTTGAAGGAGCATGAGCTATCCTGCGTCCATACTAACAGCGTCCTAGTAGCTAGGAGCGAACTTCTCCCTTAATTAAGTAGGCACTTAGGCGCCTACTAAATCAAGTAAGGAGGCAGTGCCACGGGCTAAAAAAACAAAGTGTTGAGATGCCTTTGCAGAGAGCCAGTGCAAAGTTAGCTTCAGTTGTTCGAGGCCAGCTGCCAGCGAGGCAGACAGCAGAGATACCGTGGAGCGGCAGGCAGACCAGCTTCAGGCTGACGGAGAGCAATTTCCGGTGATGTCAACGGCAATATGCTGTGCAATTCATCAAGTATTTCAGTTAGATGGATCGGGCAAGGAGCTGGAAGACAGAAATCAAGAGCACGCTTCTCAGATTGATTCTCTTGTAAGTCGAGAGATCAGCACAAGTTGGAACAGTGACGCCTGTGACCCTGGCTGTTCAGGCTTGAAAAGCGGCTGGAGGATATGGAGAATCAGTCTAGAACACTCGTGGTGGGAGCCTAAGTGAGCCTTACGCCATGTCCACGTCCGAAGTGATGCAGCAAACCTCAATGTCTACAATCACCTAAACGCAATGCGGCTAATAGGGTGGCTACTGGTCTGATCTTTGTTTGTTATAATGACCTTGGCACAATTGTGCGGTGGGTGCTTTCGTCTTCTTACCAATGTCAGAGTGGTTGCGGTTGAGACGCAAACTCCTTTAGGCCATTTTGAGTCCAACTCGTCGACTCCAACTTCAAGTTGATTCGGCCTTTTGCTGTCCAACTCAATTGGCTCATACTAATTATAGGTATCCTTTCATTTTGACACCAAACAAGATAGGCACCAGCAATCGGAAAGGCATTGCTGACACAAAAGAAACACGGTAGCTTGCTCTAATTGGTCCGCCCCAAGCAAGATCGCCTTTCAATGCCTTTCATATAAGAGGCTTCGTACTTCAACTTAAACGCAAAGGATATTTCACCGAAAGGAGATCCCCTCAAAACATCGACTGCGTAGATCTGCATAGCGCATACCCAGAAGCTTGGCAATGAGTTGCGGAACGAGATGGGGTCTGCGAGAATGAGAAACGCAAAAGTCGTTTTGTGCAAGTAAGAAACTGGGACAGTGACCCAGAGTGACCCATGGAGCCACGAATCAGATCCACTCATCTCACCCTTGATCAGGACGAGCGTGATAGGCTCCAAGAGGAGTTGGATGATGCTACTGACAGGCCGAGATGAGAGACAGTGAGACATATCACCACACATTCAACACACTTTGGGTCTCATTGTTGCAAACTGCAGGATCGAGTACATGGAGGAGGCAGAACAAAGGTGGAGAGATAAGGTCTCAAAGGCTCCGGATGCCTTCTGGCATCTTGTGGCTTTATGTTCAAAGTTTGGTTGACAAGTTCACAAGTCAAGCCCAAACGAGAGGCTCCTTTGTGATTGGAACCTGTGCAGGCCAGGATAGAGAACGACAGGCTGCTCCAGGAGAGAAAACTGCTTTCTCCATGGTTGTCCATGGACTACCGGCTTGTCCAAGCTTTTTGGTTTCGAGATGCGAATCAGAACGTCAAGATGAGGTGCGAAGTCAAGAAAAAACGTGTATTTTGAACGTGGCACGTATGCAAGCTGCAGTGCAGGAGCTAGAGCGTTCGAGCTTTGTAAGCTCTGACCGCGAAGGTGGTCTTATTGCTTCACTCCTGGCCTTGGCCCTAGCACCAAGCAGCCTTTGCAGCAGGTTACACCTGGCCTTACACAGGCTGTGTGTGTGTGAGCGCCTGCTCCTTCACCTTCGCAATTTTGACTCCAGACATTCCAGTACCTCAACTGGTGACATTTCTAAGGATGCTAGACAGCTCAGAGAGGTGATTGCAGTGCTGAAGCGGCGGAGACTACTGATGCTTCGTGCCTAGTATGTCTTAGCTCCTCAACCCTGCAAGTATTCGGAATCACTTTTGCAAGTTATAATATGGAAGCTTGTTTTGCTATGCTTTGTTGTAATCCCACGCTTTCTTCAAGCGCTCTCAGTTGGTCTCAGGCTTACCAAGATGCAACAAGAGCTACGAAAGCCGAAAGCTGAGTAATTTTTGCGGTGCATTGTGCGATCATCACAGACTTTTCAAGCATCAGCAACGAAATGATGAAGCCAGTTTGTTGCGCTAGACGTAAAGCTGCTCCTTGCTGAGCAGAGATCATAATATGAGGAGACAAGAAGAAGGTGAAGTGAAGACAGCATTGGACTCCTGGAAGCTTGAAATAACAAAGGCGCAAAGCCGATCGAAGCTGTAATTGAGCAAATGTTGCATTGAACATCCCTGTGGCAGGAAGTGTACGAGAAGAAATTGGACGCTTTGGAAGCTCGACGGCGAAAGGAGGCTTTAACCGCATCAACAATTGCAGCAAGCTGTGCATTATCCTGACATTAGCATGCCATGAACTTAGCAGCCTTGTTCCGTTGGCAGAGCTCAGCAAGAGACCCTATGCAGTACTCATTCGCCTGCAGGTTGGGGAGCTAGAAGTGCTGCTTGCAGCAGATAGGGCACACATTGCTAGACTTCAGGTACGCGCGCTTCCTGTTGCTATCCATGAATTGATGCCTGTCATTCTACACATTTGCTTAGAGTTGTGGATTGCCATTGTGCGATGGCAATACCTTCATACCTAGAAAGATTGTGCGATGTGTTGCTCTTCGGCTTTGCAGTCGCTTCAATGCGTGTTCCTTTGGGAGCAATCTCGAGGCTCAGGTGGAGCAGCTTCGTGGAAAGATCAAAAAAGCGGCACAGCACTTTCTGGCTAAAGCCTCAGCTCGGTGTCTCAAGCTCGATGAATGCTGAAAGAAAGCTCGAACTTGCTGTCGCAAGCAGTCCAGAAATTGTCAAGTTCGAGAGAAGTCAATTAATTTGAAGACTCTTGAAGATGTGGCGGTAATTACCCGCTTGATGCCACTTTGACTCATTGGGTGTAAGATGTCACTAGCTTCCAACGGTCGAAACAGTGCGACTTGCCAAATTGCTCTCGATTTGTGAGACGTGCTTTGAGGAGCGTACGCTCAGTACCAACACCTTTCCCTGGGCGCATGGTCATGTTCGGAGACCTGGACTCCGAGAACTCGCACATATTTGATGATATTTGATGGCTGTCTATATTTGCCATTTGCTTTCTATGTTTTTCTAAAAATCACTTTTCATCTACTTGTTGCTCTTTTTTTGCTTCTACTTTTAAAGGAGGGACGTCTACGAATACCAAGGGGCAGGTAAGCGATGGTAAGTGGTAAGCAGATGTAAGCAGTAAGCGCAGGTTCGATGTTCAAGGAAACGATCAGACAACTCTTGCAAGGCGTTGCGAGCGTGGTGTGGAATCCACCCGAGCTTGGTGCTGGAGAATGAATTGGAGCGAACAAGGAAGAAGCTCAAGGACACCATTTGGATCCAAGATGAATGCGATAACTTGCGCTGAATATTTTATAACTGTTTGTTCCTCTTAGTGCGCCTTGTTCATAAACCTTGGTCATATTGATTCATGCTGCACATTTATACCTTCATTCAAGGAGACTGAGGAAGCGCTGGTTGAAGCCACAGAGCGTTGGGGCACCAACAATGTGAGAAACACCAACCGCCTTTGTCTATGTTTTACTCCAATGAATTGAGGCCGAGATACTCTTCAAGTGGAGCTTGATCAAGTTGTGGCAGAGCGGGATGACTTGAGACAGAGGACACTATTTGTTGTGCACTATTTGGCTTAGCATTGCATGGCATTTCATTGCTTGGCTGATGGCTCCAGACATCAGAAACCGCATGGAAAGCTGTAAGGATTGATTCCGCGCTTGCGGAGCTCGAGTACATCAAGGAGGTCGAACAGAATTTGCTTTTTGATATAATGTTTTTTGGAGTAATTACACGGACACAGGCGAGGGTATGACTGTATGAGTTGATACGAGGAAGCAGGTCTTGATGAAGAATCAATTGCCAGAAGAAAGGCAGCTCAAAAGGCTCATGAGGACTGAAGCGGAATCAATTGCAAATCGTTGAAGCGGATCAAGTGGACTGTTCTTGGGAATTGCGAGGATGAGTGGCACCGTAGACTCAAAGAGGCCCAGCCCTTTCAGATTTTTTCTTTCAGGTTGGCAGTGCCAACCGCTAGAAGGTGGAGGCTGTCACTATGTTTGGATTGCTTCATTGTGCTCCTTAGGTCCAGGACAAGCTGGATGAGCTACAAGAGAAATACGACAATGAGACGGACAGAACACAAAGCTTTGCGTTTTGCCTTGTACTTCAATCTGCCAGAAGTTCCACAAGTGATTAGTTGGAAATCTTTGAGGCAAGATAAGAGAAAGGCCTGCTTAAAATTTGAACATGTTTTTGTTGTTGTTGTTTTCGGTCAACCTACAAAAGTGACTCTGCAGGAAGTTCTTCAAAAGCAACTCAAGGTGATGGGCGGCTCATACATGTTTCAGCTTTGATAGGACATGTTGTGACTTGTGTCAACTCCTTCAGGTAATTGAACTCCTCTGCCCGGTAGGCGATACAGTCAAAGCTTGCCATCACACAAGATGCATTGAATGCGACCTCAGCACGCCCTGGCAGTGGGTCACGGGCTTGATTAAACTGGTTTGGTTGATCTTGACAAGCAAATCTGGCCAAAGCTTCTCAACGCTTGCATTCTGACCCGTGTGCAGGTCAGACCCAGATGCCTTCAGAGTGGTTCCGAATGGGCAGGGTATTTTATGCTGCGGCTGTCTCTTGGCGCAAAACAGCTCCCTGAAGCTAGAATTTCATGCGATGCAACTTTGGCTAAGGTCTCAAGCAGATTGTTCTGCGGGATGTGACGCACTGGCTTCAGCAGATGCACACAAAGAAATATTAATGATTGGCTATGTGTTTGCACCAGTTAATTACCACTTTGTTTGCAGAAGATGTGCTGATTCTTTGTCTCCAAACGCCTACCAAGGCCATTGCCCCCGAAACGCGCGATGAGTGTATCCACTCCAGACCTCGAGACGGTCCCTCGCTCTGCAGATCTACTACTACTATACTGTTTCCTTTAGCCCGTGGTCCTGCCTTCTTACTTAAGTAGATGCCGCTACTAGGACGCTACTAGTTACTAGTATGGACACAGGATAGCATGGATAGCTCACGGTCGCACTAGTGATTTGGTTCCTAGATTTTTGAGCATGTATTTAGCCATGCCCTTTGCATTGAGCATTCGTTTTGCTTGCTTCATACCTTGCATAACATCAGAAGACTGCACTGAGGGGATCATTAGGTATCAATAGGTATCGGTATCATTCTAATTCATTAAATCAATATCAGAGTTTCTATCTTCTCCTGGTGCTGCCACCATTGAGGCACGGCGGGCGTTTTTCAAGAAGGCCGGAACACTTCTGCACTTGGCACAAGAAGCAGCGAGCACGACTTCAGGGCCTTGGTGGTCGACTGCAGCAAGATGACAAGTCTTGGACCCGGTTTTTGTGGAGTGCTACATGGTCTAAAGTCTAGAGATGACTAGACTCTGAGGGAGGTCAGAACGCTTGTTGTAGAACGGGGCCTTGATGACTGGATGTCAACTGATTTTTGGGGTAGTACCCGCATTACTACTAGTAGCTTCTAGCTACTAGTAGCGATGCACCTGTTACTAGTAGCGATGCACCTGTTACTAGTAGCGATGCACTTGATACTAGTAGTACACACCATGCCATAGACGTCATGCATGGCCGTAGTGTCATGAAGTTCTAGACGTCACACCTCCGCCGTACCATCAGCGGCGGACCAAGGTTTCAAAATATGCTCTGGAACGATGCAAAGGATCCGTATCGACTTTCCAAGCGCATCCGGCGTTCTGAAAGACATAATCAAGTTCTGAGCCTGAAAGTATCTGAAAGAGTATCTGAAAGTATTGTGAGCCAAGCGAGTATGGCAGGCTTGTTGAAGAGCCGGAGTTCCAGGTCATTCGAGAGCCATCTAGAGCAGCTCTTGGTCTTGGATACATCTGAACACGACATCAACAACATTTGGAGCGGACTGTCATTTCAGTATATGGTGAGAAGTGTTGCCTTATTGCACTGATTCAAGGCCCGAAGCCCGATTCTTCACCACGTCCAGGCACGACACATCTTGATACCTTTGGCATCCTTCGAATGTTCGTTGACCGATGTCAATGTGTTGACCTGGCTGAGGTCTGCCCAAGCTGAAGTCAAACTCCGGACTGGTATCATTGAAGAGCTCGATGCGGGATTTCAGGCGTCTGGGGTTGAAAGAAATATGTGGAGGCCATCGCTACTAGGTTGGAGGCCATCGCTACTAGATGCCGAACGGAAGACTTCAATATCTTCAATTCACTCAGATGCTTTCTACATTTTCGATCATTTTCGGACAAGGCCGAGATGCTTCAGATAGCACACGTTCCACATTGGCAGGCCAGGGTATCAAAGAGAGTCAATAAGATATTCAACAAGTTTTCTTTGGAATCATGGGCCATTGCCAGGGGCACCGCCAGTCGGCAGAAAAATGAAGGGACTGGAAACAACGCAAATTGAGGGTGCTTCAAAACCCGCAGACCTGATACATCACGTGGATTTTGATGATGTCTTTAAGCATATTTGCATTGTTTTCAAGGAGTCCTACCATTGCTAAGGAGTGCTAAACTACTGGCACTCTTCCCGTCTGGCTTCACTCAGCTAGACGTGTGCAGTCCTCATCCTTCCTTCAAGAGGAAGAGTATGTAAAGGCTGGACACATACTTCAGGCCACAGAATCTTGCGAAGCGGCGAAGGCATCAACTTTAAATCGTTTTGCCGCTACGCTGTTGCTCCTTATTCACATAGGCTTGTGCCTTTTTTGATCTTTTTGCTACAAGGCACAGCAAGCAATGCAAACTCTTGATGTGCATACTGCATATGCGTCCAGCTTCTGACTATTCTCCACAGTGCTGACTGCAAATGCATGTTAGCAGGTTGTAGCGATTAGAGTCGAGCCAGAGTTTCGTTGGGGTGGAAGACAGGCTTGCGGCTGTTGTGGGTGCCTGTAATCTTGTTTCGAGAGCAGGGCAGCTTCCCAATGAGTTACTGCACAAACTGCTGTAGCATTTTGCAGCAGCTTACACACATTTTTCATGTACGCCCGATGTTTTGCTGGCAAAACGTGAGGAGCCTAGCACTATATAGTCGGATATAACAATATAATATAATGTTATAGTATATAGGCTATAGGTGTTTTTTGTTATTGTTGCTCTGCAGGTGTTGCGGGTGGAATGGTGGCGTTTTCTATATTGAAGTAATTTTTGATCTCGTACACATCCTCATTTTTCTTCACATGTTGTTTATTTGCTTCAGCACACTTTTTTGCGACAGAGAAGCGGCCTGATTATGTCAAAACAAAGGTTCTGGAACAAGAGTCAAACCTAGTCCTAGTTTGCGCATTCACACATTCCCTGTTGTAGCCATTTTTGCCAACTATTCCTTTGGAATTGTGCAATAGATAGTCCTGTGATGGGCTCAGAGCGATCAGTGGGCGAGACCGGCGAGAGCACAGGACTTTCGTTATTCTTGGATATTGCAGGCAGGAGAGAGTGCATTAGCGTGAGATCTAACGATTTGGGGAGAAAGGTGTGGTCAGATCTGCGCACTTTGTCGGCCGTGCATAGGATCAAGCTGGATGGCTTCGAGTGCCG